GAAGAAGTGGACCATGTTGCCTGAAAGTTTGCAAAAGTCTTTAAGGTGTTGCCCTGTCTTCTATTTTTTTATTTTATTTTGTTGCTTTCATTTTTGAGTGTCTTGTTGAACTGCTTGTACAGACGAACTTCGAAAACAACAATCCTTTTTGTTTTCCTTTTACATGTTGAAACAGAGTAGCCCAGTTACTTCCTCGAACTCTTCTGCAAGAGTAATTGTTAACCGTTTCTAACAGCAGCAATCATGCTTGCGTCATCTTGATGATGGATTGATTGGATAGGACGTCCCATCCCCACAAAAACTTAACCAAGTTTTCCCCCTCCCTTTAATTAACAGGCACTTTGATCAGATTTACAATCTTAGATTCCCCCTTTCTCCCCTTTGTTCTTAACTTATATTAGCTTAAGTTGAAACGGATGTTCCCAGCCATATCCCACACAACCATACCCTGTATAGTGATGATTTGCTATAGCACGCAAATGAAGAACTCGCATTCTTGTGAGTTCTTCTAGGTATAAAATGAAACCTTTGAGGGACTTGTTTGGTCTTGGATAGGCAATCAGGATCCATTGGCTTTACAAAACACCAGTTGCAAATGAACAATGTGCTGGAGCCGGTTTGTGGATGGGGATGAACATAGCTGGTTGGATACTTTTGAGGAGTGTAACTCTGCGGATTGTCTAGGGTTGCCAAGTGTTTAAAAAAAGTGCTAAAGTTTCTGGGAATTGCTGTGCTTCCCCAGGTGAGCAGAGAAATCTTAGTGCGGAGGGCCTGAGAGGTGGAGGAAACTTGGTTTTTTTAAGTCCTCTGGTTTTAAAGCAATGGCTCCCCACCTTGGGTCCCCAGATCATACTGGACTCAAACTCCCAGAAGCCTTCGCCCCTCACTGTGCTGGCTGGGATTTCTGGGAGTTGCAGTTCAAGGACACCTGGGGGACTCGCGGTTGGGAAGCACTGGCACATGTATATGTCTCCGTATCTACCAGTCTGCAAAGAGAGAAGGGGGAGCTGTGCTGGCCGGGATTTCTGGGAGTTGCGGTTCAAGGACACCCACAGTTGGGAAGCACTGACACATGTATATGTCTCCATATCTATCAGTCTGCAAAGAGAGAAGGGGGGGTTCGCGAATCAGCTGATCTCATGCATCGTCTCCTTTTCTCCGTCTCTAGCTCTCAAGAGATCCTTTGACGTGGAAGATCCCGAGGAGGAACTGGCTTTCTCCCCAGCCGGGTTGCCCCTGAAGTCCAGCACGCCTGGCATCATCCAAGCCCCTGCCAGTGCAGAGGGGAGAAGAGGGGGCGGCCCGATCCTGCCCAGTTTCCAGTCCCGGATCAGCCTGAGCTCTAGCACCAGCCCGTCTCACAGCCCCGTCCTCAAGACAAGGGTCGGCAGCAGTCTTTCTTTCAACCGGGGCACCGCCCTTTCACCCCGAGCCAACGGGAACCACCTCGCCAGGGTCTCCTCCTTCCAAACACGGCTGAACCCCAATGGGTATTCGTCGTCCTTGGGGCCCGGCAGTGACAACGAAAGTCTTCATAGCTCCTCTTCCAGCTTGGAGTGCGCGACCTCCGCGAAAGGCCCTTCCACACCTGCCCGGCCTTCGCAGATCCCAGGAATGGCAACCCCTGAGCTTCCGAGTTCGGTTTTGAAGAAGTTCTCTTCGCACAGCGACGTCTTCTACACCGAGGGAGATCAGCCCATCCGGCAGGTCTCCAAAGCCGCCGTCAATCACAGCTCGCTGCCTTCGCTGGACCTCCACATTGCCGAAGACCACGGGCTCGGCCTTCCTCTCTGCTCCACCCTGGGCGCCGAGCCGGCCATCACCTGGCGCTCCAGAGATCAGAACTCTCTCTCGCCCCTGCCGAAGACCGCCATGTTCCTGAAGAAGGAAGCTCTCATCCCACCCCTGGAGGTGGGAGAGTCGGAAACCATGACTTTTCCCGCCCTGGCTTCGAGACAGGCAGCCAAGTTGCAGAAATTCCCCGTCAGCCTTGACAGATGGATCCGGAAGCCTCCGGAATCCGTCCCGCCATCAGAAATGCCCAGTTCTGCATCCACATCTTTATCTGAGGTGCAACTCCAGGTCAACCCGGGCGCCAACCTCAGCCTTTCTCAGCAATGCCCAGAAATTCGGAGAGAAGATAAAACTGTTGCCGAGGAAGGCGCTCCTCCGTTACCCTCTTCCAGAAGCTTTTCAGGAGAGGCAGGAGAGAAGAATCCGGCATCTCCCGCTCCGGGTGCAACCCTCGGGCTTGTGCCCTCACCTCTTGGACAACCGGCAGGCGTGACTCTGCTAGCCAGCCCAGCCTCGTCCGTCCGGAAGGAAAGCAGCCGGGTCCTGAGTGAGAGGACCCACTCCGTTTCCCATCCAGAAGTGCCCAAAGTTCAGACTCTGGTGCCCCCTTCCCGCCCCAGAGAGGATCCACCTGGAAGAGTGGCAAGGTCTGTGCAGGTCTCCTGTGAGAAAGATGATTCTCAAAGCAGGGGTTCATCGACGGAAGGTAAGCGCAGCCCGCTCCCAAAACGTCACTGCCAATAAAACCACCAAATTCCTTTCCCAGCGAAATGTTTTCAGGAGCGCCGAGAGACGTCGAAACTTAGAGTTTCCACCAAGTTTCATATCCCCGGACATCTTTCCTTCCACGTGGCGGGGGGGCGGGGTGTCACATAAAACCCTTTAATGCCCGGTGGCTTCTCTCTGAGATCAAAGCCACGGCCATTAATGCTGCCCATTCTGACTTGCTATTCCCAGAGATGGAACTCTTTACCTTTTATTTTATTTTTTTGGAGTTCAAGTCCCAGTATCCCCTGACTATAGCCTGCTTTAGGTTGGAGTGCAGGTCCTAAAATCCTTCCCCCCATGCTGGTGGGGGAATTCTCGGAAAAGTAGCATGCCCCGCCTCTCGGGTTTTCCCCTCCTTCGGATCATGAGACGTTGAGGCGATTTCGTTGTGATTTTGCCTCCACTGGTGAACCGCAATGCCAAGTGCCACACTTTTTTTGAGTGTTCTGTTCTGCCACCAGTGCAAATAACGCCGGTGAAATTCGATGGTTTTNNGGTCTTCTGACCCTGCAGCACAGGCTTCTGCGGTTTAGCCCGCAGCGCCACCACGTCCCTCTTTAGGTTGGAGTGCAGCTCCTAAAATCCCCCCCCCCATGCTGGTGGGGGAATTCTCAGAAAAGTAGCATGCCCCGCCTCTCAGGTTTTCCTGTCCTTCGGATCGTGAGACGTTGAAGCGATTTCGTTGTGATTTTGCCTCCACTGGTGAACCTCGATTCCAAGTGTCACACTTTTTTTGAGTGTTCTGTTCTGCCACCAGTGCAAATAACGCTGGTGAAATTCAGTGGTTTTCTGGAATGCCGGGGAGGTTCGGGGGGGGTTTGCAACGGCCCCAGAACGTGGCTGCCCCAACCGAGTGTATTTGTGGTCATGAGATTTGAATCGTGAACTTCCTGGTTCCGAACTTGATGTCCTAGACAAGGGCTTACTGGGGGGGGGGAGCCTGTTTTGGCCGATTTGCCCAAGGGTGGGCCAGCAGTGTGTTTGTGAAGCCCCCTCCCCTATAAAGGCCAACCCGCAGTTAGCCTTAGTGGTCTGGATGGCTCTGTAGGTGTGCTTTGGGTTGGGAGTCAGGGGCCGGGCATTTGGTCCCTCCCTGTGCTTTTTGGGAGAGAGACCCATAAAGATCACCCAAAACATGTCTGGATGGTGGGGGTCAATGTGCCCGGCAACCTTGTTGGGCCGTTGCGCAAGCCCCAGAGCGCCCCCTGAAGGAGAGAGTGGGAGTCCACTTCTGAGACCTCATTCAACTCAAAAAGCTGTGGAATGGTTGCCATGAGCTGGATTTTACTCGGTGACCCGTGGCTATTAAGATAGCTGATGATGATGGCAGGAGTGGTTTCTCCCTGGAAGTCCCCAGAATGCCTCAGATCTCGAGTCACTGCAGGGCCTCGTGGGTAATTGAAATGCTTCTTCTCATGAGGATTTCCCCAACACTTCAGGGCAGGTGGGGGACCCACAGAGAGAATTACAGTACAGCAAAATGCTGTGGAGGAAAATAGGTGGTCTCCAGGAGCCGTTCAACTTCCGCCCATGTACGTTTTGTGGGTCTAAATGCATTGGGGATGGGCTGCCCTTGTACAAAGGGCACTCTGCACATGCTCGGAGGTGCTTCTGTTTCTCTCCATAGCTTCACAATTAGGCTGTCACCACATTTTTGCTTTTTAATATTTAGAGTTTTAGTTTTTGCCAGTGGATGCCTGCTCAGACCAGCGCAGCTACTTCTTTGAAAACTGTCCCTTTAGGTGGATGTTCTCTGCCGATACGAAGCGTCTGCTAAGCCTTTCTCTCCTCCTCTTTCTCTCTCTGCGTCCGGATTCATCGCCCTTCGTTTCTGCTCATAGTTTTCTGATGAGGTAGACCTTCTCAAGTTTGCGGTCTGGATATCTGAGGACGTTTAACTCTCCAGAACTTCCTCATATTTGTGGCATCAAGAGGACAAAGTCGTCCTCTGTTTCGGTTCCTTCTTCCCACCCCCCTTCCTTGCCCATGGCCGGGCAACCCCTTCTCTCGAGGTTTGGTATGTGCCAGGCCCCTCCTGATGGAGGGGTCAAGAGGACAAAGGAAGAGTCCAGCTGAATCCGTCCGTTTCTTCAAATGAATACAGTACTCAGATGCCTTTCAGAATCTGGCACAACCTGACTGCATAGAATAACAACTTCCTTGTAATTCAATAAATGTCTGTCATGCGTCTCGTTCCTATCACTTGCATATATTACTTCCCAGAACTTAAAGGAAACTAAACAAGGCGTTTTCGTCCTGCTTCATCCTGCCCAATGCTTCAAATGTTTGGAGTTTCTGAAAAACTTGCACGCTGCCTTTAGTACATTTGTCAAGGAAGGATCGTTCTGGACCGGAGCGACTGTCAATCTATTCGGCACGAACCAATAGTCCTTTCACTGCCCCTGCATTCAAAGAGAGTCCCGCCTCTCCGCTCTGTGTCTTTTTCCCTCTCTGGAGTCTGTTCAAGTCTGTTATTGAAAGCGGCCATGTCGGTCAGGTTTTCTGTTCGATCTGTTCAACAGGACGTCATGAAACCTTTTGCTCTTTCTCCTAGTAATGTCTCAGAGTGAGTTATGGAGACTGGAGCGGCCTGTTGATGAGAAAAAAAGGGGTGGGCTAATCTGAGGAACTTGAAGCTAATTCTCCTCTGCGTATCCCTGCACTTCTGCTGTGCAGCGAGAGGGGACTATCCCCCAAATCCAAAAACTCTGAAACATCAAACACCCTTGATCTTTCTTCCCACTTCCTTAAGGTTGCCCCCCTTTTTTTTATGTGTAACTCAACCACACGTTTGCTACTCAAGCTGGCTCCGATGTATGTTTCTCTCCTCTCTTCCCCCTCACCACCTCCCACGGGCCACTCCTTAATTTTCTTGACTCCCCTCCTTTCCTTGGCCGTGGGACAAATTCTGAAGGCTTTCTGGCAAGAGTCCTACCTCTCCTCCCTGCAATCAGAGGAGATGGCAGGGGACCAAAGTTAATTTTACAAAAAGAAAGAAAGACGTCTCACACCTACCAAATTGACGAAAGACACAGCTGTGTAATCACTCGAAGGGGAGGTGGGTGGTGGGAGCGGTAAAGGTGGGATTCTGTTCTCTCGAAGGAATGGTCTCTTCTAGCACGTTCTTTACATGGATCTGGAGCAGTCTCTCTCTCTCATACACACACACACACACGTACACACACACACACACCTCCTATCAAAAGCCATGCTTCTTCTCCAACCCCCTTTCACACACACAAACACACACACACACCCCTCCTATCGAAAGCCATGCTTCTTCTCCGACCCCCTTCGGGAGAGACCGTAGAAGATGATGGATTTCTTGTCTTTAAAAGATGCTTACTCCGCCTTTCTTCTTAAAAAGGACCCAAGGCTGCTTACGCCATTCAAAGGACAATATTTAAAAGCTAAAAAACAGGAAGTATATAAATATTTAAAAAAAATTAAACGAGTGTTCTATTTAAAACAGTAAATAAAATTGACACGTGAAACCGGTGGAAAAGCAACAGAGCACAACCAGCCAATTGGATTGGATTGAGGTGTGAGCGCACCACCTGGGATCCAATGGGCTGACTCTACAGGTTTGGGATGTAATCATATTAATAATAAGAATTTATTGCGGTCAGTGGACCAGAAGGTTTGGGATGTCTGGGGCTGGCGTGCGTAACACCAACGGTCCAGGGCTGTAACTCAGGCAGAGCAACTGAGGCTTTGCGCCAGGAGACCCAAAATTTGGGGAAGATCAAAACAGAGAGGTGAATCTATTGGTGAATGCTAGGAAAATCCAAAACAACGTCTCTCGGCCCTACAAACTTCCCCTTTTTCCTTCCTGAAAGCCCCAACTTCCTCTTTTGTTTGAGAGACGCTTGATTCACCTTGTCAAACTTCCTGCCAGCTGATGACATCCATGCCTTTATAGAGCGAGTGGGAGACAATCCAACTTAAAATGCCGGAGTTGCTAGTTATAGCCCTTTCCAGGGTCGTTTCTTGTGCAGCTGGACAACTTTCTTCTATACTATTTGCAAAGAGATTTTATACCAGCCTTTCCCAAACTGGGATCCTCCAGATGAGTTTGTTGGAGTTTCACTCACAGGCTACCTGTGGTTCGAGGGACTAGGAGGAACCTTTCTGGGCTGGGGCGACTGTCAATCTATCCAGCACTCACCAATCATTTCTTCCCACCTCTGAATTCAAAGACAGTCCCGCCTCTCTGCTGAGTGTTCTTTTCCCCTCTCTTTATTTTGTGGTAGGTCGTGTTGTTACTTTGCTGTTGATCTGTTCGGAACGGCAAATAATGGGACGTTTTTATTCATTCTCTTACCAAGTCTCAGAGCGGGTTATTGAGACTGAGAGGTTCGTTAATGAGAAAAGGAGTGGACACTCTTGAGAACCTGTTGCTATTCTCTTTTGTGAGTTGCTGTGAACTTCTGCTGCGCAGTACGAAGAATTTTACCAGACATTCGAAACCGTGCAGCGGTTGTAGTCCAAAGAAGCGACATTTCCACACTCTGTGTGTGAGCGGCTATCTTATCTAGCAGTGGTAGGCTTTGTCGCTGTGTACAGGAATGAAGACTCAGATCTGTGGCTGAACTAAAGACATTGGCTCCCCCCTGTTTATGTTTCTCTGTACCAAGCTGTCTATTTTACCTAATTATACCTCTGCCTGTCAAGGTGACTCTTCTGCTTCCCTTCTTATTGTGATTTCCGCCGGGACGCTTATAGAATACTTCAAGGGCTAGCAGTCTAAACAGAAGTCCATCTGGCCCATAGGAGCAAACTTCAGCCTTCCCTCCTCCGTGTAAGGGCCACGTAGCAGCTCTGTCGAGAGAGGCTAGTTCTTCCCCCGGCTCTCCGCTGTGCTTCCCGTATGACTCACTGCCACTCTTCGGACCTCATCTTGACTCCCCGGTTGCCAGAGGAATGAATGGAAGATCC